AAGATTCTCTATCTTTTCATAAGAAAAAATTATTTTTTTTTTTTTTAAATTTGGCCGACCCTGAGAACGAGTTTCTGAGAGGGCCTGTCGACCCTCAAAGGGTTAAAGCCTCCTTGTTCATCTGCAATACTGCTCTCCATCTTATTCTTAATTCTTTCAATAATAACTACCATACACTTTACCAGGTATACTCAACAGGCTTATTCCCCTATAATTTTTACTCTCTCTTTTGTCCCCTTTGCCTTTATACAAATGAACAATGCATGCTCTCTGCCAATCCCTAGGCACCTCTCCCTCTTCCATACATTTATTAAATAAAAAGCACCAACCATTCCAAAACTATATCCCCACCTGGTTTAAGCATTTCTGTCTTTATCCCATCAATTCCAGATACTTTACCCCAATTCATTCTACCCACTGCCTCACACACTTCCCCCACACTCACAACTGCCTCTTCCACATTCCTACAAGATGATTTACCTCTGCCCAATGCACAAAATCACAGCCTCCCTATCTTTATCAGTATTTAAGAGTTCCTCAAAATATTTCCTACATCTTCCCAATACCTCTAACTTTCCATTTAATAACTCTCCTCTCCTATTTTTAACTGTCATATCTTTTTGTTCCACAGACTTTCTAAACTTATTAATCTCGCTCCAAAACTTGTTCTTATTATTAACAAAATCTGTTGATAGCATCTCACCCATTCTCTCATTTGCTCTCATTTTACATTCCTTTAAAACTCTCTTAACCTTTCTTTTTCTCTCAATATACTCCTCCCCTCCTCGTATCACTTCTACTTTGTAAAAACCTTCCATATGCTATTTTTTTCTATCTTACTACTCCCTTTACCTTGTCATTCAGCAACAGCTTTTACCTCCTGCACCCACTTTCCTGTAACCACAAACTTCTGCTTACCACTCTAACACTATATTCTTAAATCTACCTCATACCTCTTCAACTTCATTGCCTATACTCTCACTAGTCCATCTTTCTTCCAATAGTTGTTTATATCTTACCCTAACTGCCTCCTCCTTCCATTTTCCCTATATCCCATCTACCTTTTACTCTCACTGTAGCTACAACTAAAAACTGATCTATCTATGGCCTCTCTATAAACATGCACATCATGAATTGATGAGGGAAAAAAAGGCGAGTGGTGCGTTGAGGTATATGTGGAGACAAAAAAACGTTATCTATGGAGGCAAAGAAGGCAATGTATGAAAGCATAGAAGTACCAACAATCTTATATGGGTGTGAAGCTTGGGTTATAAATGCAGCAGCGAGGAGGCGGCTGGAGGCAGTGGAGATGTCCTGTCTAAGGGAAATGTGTGGTGTAAATACTATGCAGAAAATTAGGTGTGTGGAAATTAGGAGAAGGTGTGGAGTTAATAAAAGTATTAGTCAGAGGGCTGAAGAGGGGTTGTTGAGGTAGTTTGGTCATTTAGAGAGAATGGATCAAAGCAGAATGACATGGAGAGCGCATAAATCTGTAGGAGAAGGAAGGTGGGGTAGGGGTCATCCTCAAAAAGGTTGGAAGGAAGGGGTAAGGGAGGTTTTGTGGGCGAGGGGCTTGGACTTCCAGCAGGAATGCGTGAGCGTGTTCGATAGGAGTGAATGGAGATGAATGGTATTTGGGACCTGACAAGCTGTTGGAGTGTGAGCAGGGTAATATTTAGTGAAGGGATTCAGGGAAACCGGTTATTTTTATACAGCTGGACTTGAGTCCTGGAAATGGGATGGTGGGAATGGGAGGGTGTTGGCACCTGGAGAAGAAGTTGATATCCTTGGGGTGAAATTTGACTCCAAACTAACCATGAAGAACCATGTTGTAAATCTTGCAAACAAGGCAGCCCGGAAGCTTACAGCACTTTGCCGTATCTCGCATCTACTTGACAGTAGGGGTTGCAAGATTCTGTACGAGGCACAAGTACGCTCATACCTTGAGTATGCTCCACTTTCTTGGTTTGCCTGTCCCCCCTCTCATCTGCGACTGCTTGACAGAGTAGAGAACAGAGCAAGACGTCTCATCTCTCGCCTGGACCCATCCTGGATAGATCTGTCATTTCAGCAGAGCCTTCAACATAGGAGGATGTGGGTGGCCTTACTGTTATGTCCAAGGCCAATATTGTCAAAGTACCACACTTGGATCCACTTCGAGGACAGTGTGAAACAAGCTTTTATGCCACAAGATGGGCAGAAAGCAGCAACTTCACTCTGGCTGTACCCTTCTCCAGAAAATCACTCCATCTGAGATCATATATACCCAGGATGACTAGAGTATGGAACACATTCGCACAGCATAATGATGTCAACGACATAAAGTCAGTTGATCAAATGAAAATGCTGGCCCACAGATGGCTCCAATTTCATCCTGTTCCCAACTTGTATGTCTCATAACAATAAAAATGCTTTCAATGAGCTGATGTAGGTAACAGCTCTTAGCTTGTCAATAAAGTTAGGAATCCTTAACCTGTAAATAGCTTGTCAATAAAGCTAGGGATCATTAACCTTGTCAAACCCTGTCTAAAAAAAAAAGCCTGCACTCTAAAGGAGGGTTCAGGATATTGCTCAGTTTGGAGGGATATGTTGTGTATCTTTATACATATATGCTTCTAAACTGTTGTGTTCTGGGCACCTCTGCAAAAATAGTGATTATGTGTGAGTGAGGTGAAAGTGTTGAATGATGATGAAAGCATTTTCTTTTTGGGGATTTTCTTTCTTTTTGGGTCACCCTGCCTCAGTGGGAGATGGCCGATTTGTTAAAAAAAAAAAGTAGTCTATATCTTGTATACTTTTTTATCCTTTATTCTTAAAATATTTATTACCTATTATCAAACCCCTTCTTATGCAAAGTTCAATCAAAGGCCCCCCATTATCATTTACTCTTGGCACCCCAAACTTACCTACCACATTCTCTAACCATTTCTCCTACTTAGCATTTAGGTCCATTGCCACAATTACTCTCTTACTTGGTTCAAAAGTTCCTAAACACTTGCTTAACATCTCCCAAAATCTCTCTCAACACTCCTCTCTTCTCCAGGTGCATACACACTTATTATAATTCAGTTTATGCATCCAACCCTTATTTTAATCCACATAATCCCTAAATTTATACATTTATATTACCTCTTCTCCTTTCTCAACTGATCTTTCAACATTATTTCTACTCCTTCCTTAGCTCTAACTCTCAGATACTCCTGACTTTATCCCATTTATTTCTCCTCACTAAAACTCCCCTACCCCTTTCAGCTTTGTTTCACTTAGAGCCAGGACATCCAACTTCTTTTCAATCGTAACATTGGATCTTTTCTTTTTCTCATCAACTGCATTACATCCATGCACATTCAAACATCCAGCTTTATAAAGTTTTTCTTCTTATTTTTAGTAATTTACACAGGAGAAGGGGTTACTAGCCCACAAAGTGGCAGAATACTAAAATGGAATCCAAGGAAGTACAGAATGTTACAACCACTGGAATCACCAAAAATTATGTCAAGCTTAATACTGAATGAATATGAGATGCCATGAGCACAGCTATGATTACTATAATCACAAATGGATAATGACAAGAATTTGTTTTAAGAGAGCAATTTATGTTGCAATGTTATCATTTAACCTCTACTTCTCCTGGCTTTAACCTCTATCAATTAGTAATACTGGAAACAGTCCAATATTTACTGTTACAAGAAATGGAAAGTAATAGAACATCCATTGAGTACATCATGGTGACAGCCTGATAGGATCCAGTCATTTTTTGCTAAAGGAAGCCCTGGTTAATATGGGTGTAGCCGTCCACATGAAGAATGGCCACATTACATGAAGTCTTTACATATGCTGACACCCAGCACAAATTTTAAGACACATTTTCAAGCCTGGGACTGTAGTAAAATAAAATTTGATAGAATTAGCTTCCTGGAGGAATTTTTTCTAACATATTCCATTTGCTAATCTCCATTTCCTCATTTGTCAGAAGAGAGGTAAAAATTAATAAGCAGTTCAAGAGAGTGATCGAAATTCAAACTCAGAGTCCGAAATTACTTGACCATCACCTCAATTCACTACATCACATTCATTCATTACGAATATTCAGCGCATTACTAAACAACATAAAACACAATCATGTCCGAGTCCTAGTAAGCAGTTTATCAAACCTGGAGTTTACACATATTTAACAAGTCTCTTATGCCACAGAGGTGAAACCTCACTAAAGTCTTGCTTTCCTGGATTCTCAAGGAAACGAAGTAAAATTGAAGTGCAGGTCATCCGGCACATGAACTTCTTTTGTGATGTAACCAAGTTTCTTGAAGAGTAGTTAACTGTGACTAAATAATTAACTCTTGATTCCAGACCATAACAGTTCTAAGTTGTGAACTTTAATTCTGTTTTGTTTTTCACCATATTGGCTATTTTCCACCAAGTTGTATCTTGAGTAAGAGGAGTAAGTGCAGGATTGTCAGTATCATTCATGTACATGCGGCACTACACTGCCAGATTGCTGAACATATGCCCCACCTGTCACCCCAGACCAACGGGAAGGTGTAGGTGTATGAACATGACTTACATGAGAAGAACTATCCCATGTATAAATGTTCCTCTCACAAGTCACTACTGAGGAATTTATCAGCATAATGAACAACAGCTGTGATCACAAAGCTGTCATTCTTTTTCATAATCTTCACCTGAATGTTATAATCGCTCAACAGTTCCTTCATATGGCTTTCTAATTCCTCAGTAGAAAAATGTTGATCCATATCTGCTACAAACACCAGAAAGAGAGGTGGCAGGGCAATGGTCCAGCTTCCAACAATATTTTGTGACTTTTACTGCTGGAGATCAACAGGACCTATTACCTCTTGGGCTCATTAACAGATTAGTAACTATGTTGTATCATCCTGATACTTGCATTGTTGCACAATGGCCAGATGAGGGACAGCCTGTGTCCTGCATGGCAGCCCTCCCACATATTGAAACTCTTGGTATAGAGAACGTTCACTTACTCCATGCTGCTGTCTCCTGGTGTACCATCGATGGCGTCCTTGGTGGTCATGTCCACCCCCAGACCCAGCTTGGTCCTGCTGCCATGAGTGCTGCTGCTGCTGGTGTAAAGTACTTCTTGTGAGTAGTCATAGACATAATGTCAATCACTCATTACCTCCCAATAAACTCCATCCACTCTGCCCGTTCACTGCTACTTCTTGTGTGCAGTTCATATTTAAATCATGTTTTCTCACATACCATAATTTCACAAAAAATTTCCTTCCCCACATGACTAAGTAACTACTAGAAACTACCCTTGAACTAGGCCATCCCTAGTAAAACTATCCTGAAATTTTCCCCTCCTCTTAACCTCTCTGTTCAAAAAGCTACTTCTTTATCTTCCTACTTCATCTTTCAACCTCACAGCATCTGATCTATCTATAAATGACTTTTCTCTACTTTTATCAACATTCACTTTCAATAAATTATTATATTATTATTATTATTATTATATTTACCAAAAATTGCTAAGTCCATGTAAGTCATTCAGCTCTTGAGAAAATCTCCTTTACCACTGACAACATTATATTCATACATACAAAAGACTACCAGTATTAACAACAAAACTTTCATCTAATGTATAATTTTTTCGCTCACTGCTAGAGGAACTGCATCACCTGCATACATCAAGAGTGGTATACTATACTCCATCTATTTTTACCATCAACTAAGTTTACTTCATCATCATCCCTCATAATTCAAAAATTTCTATTAATAAATACAAATGGCCCATCTAAAAATTATTATTCCCCAACAGACTAGCCAAGGAAATACAGATATTATGGTATGTGTTGCTTCAAATTTCAATGCCCAAATTTTCAGTGCAATTATATTCACTTCACTAGAAGTATATGAAAAACTGGCCACTATGTGGCCATGCAAAGTCTGTGTGTATTGACTGCTTTACACTTGGTCAATAAACAGAGATGAAAATATTTAACCAGAAACCCATTGTATAGTAGGTATGACATAGTAATATAGTGGGACCTCTGGTATATGCTGCATAGTTAGTAACCCAAGTATCTGTGCATTTATGGTGCATCAATTCTGCATCAATGTATCTGTACATGTATGGTGAAGATAGATGCATCAATGACATATGAGTGACAAGAACGAGAGTGACAGTTTGTGACTGTCACCAACAGAGGCACATTCATACCTTATAACGTTCTTCCTGCTAGAACTTTAATACTTGCACAACCAGTGTACACATTTTTACCATTACACAATGTCTCTCAGAGTATAAGTGGTGAGACAGAAGCTCTCAGTGTACATGTTGTGAGATAGTGTAGCATATATGTAGTGAAATATAGATTATGGGTCCTAAGCATGTTTAAGCTTTCAACAACTATTTAAAACTAACTACATTATAAATATACACTGTTACCTCAAAATAAGCTACACTCAAGAGAGAACTCACAGTAAAGAATTAATTATAATTTCAAGAAAGTGCTACTCCCTCAACCTGCTTCTAGAAGCCCAACCAAGATCCTTACTGTCTTGTTTACAACTATCAATGACCATATACAACAGTATTCATAACCCTATTCAAAACTTCAGGCAAAACAAATTTTTTCTCCTTCCTCCTATAGTCAACCATTTCAAACCCACTGTTCACAAGCACCTCCTTACTTCAATGTGATCCTTGCAACAATTACCTTAACCCTTTCAGGGTCGAGAGGCCCTCTCCTAAACTTGTTCTCAGGGTCAAAAAAAAAAAAAAAAACTTATGAAATGATAAAGAATCTTTTCCCGATCATAATGACACCAAAAGTATGAAATTTGATGGAAAACTTACGGAATTATGCTCTTGCAAAGTTAGTGGTCTTGACAATATTTACACATTGGCGATTTTGCCCACTTTGAGCCCTATTTTTGGCCAATTCCAGTGTACTAGTCGACAAAAATCGTAACTATTTTGCTCGAACTCCATTTTTTCTATCGAATGAGTTCAAGAAACCACCCATTTACCGATTTCAATTATACAATAAAATGGTCAGAAATTGGCAATTTTGGCAATTTTGCCAATTTTACAGAAATTTCAAAAGATGCCAATTTCCGAATAGGCTCCATAATAAACAAGACAGACATTCCTGGCACTAAAATAACATTTTCTCTGTTTATTAGTCATATCCCCAGGCCTCTGTTACATCTCTTTTGCTTTCCACTTTGAATTTTTATTCTCACAAAAAATTGAAGATTTACTGTTATGCAGACTACTGCATTAGTGTAGAAATGGAATAAATAATATCAGCGCACTTGTGAAAGAATATTAGACTCACCAGTTGATGTGTATTGGATGCTTGGCATGATTTGTTTACTTTTGAACTTTGGCAAAAACCAAACATTTCTGCTACTTAGAGCTCAATTTCAAGGTACTTTTCATTGTCAAACCAATCAAAATCATCTCAATTTCTGTAGTATGTCTTCCATTCTATAAAATGAGACCAGGAAAAGTAGAATACAACCATAAATACCATACGAAAATACACTGCAAAGTCGCTGTTTTAAAACAAAAACACGGTCGGAGTTTTATTTTTCTCATTATGCACTGTGTGCTGCAGGATTTTTTTTTATACAGTGCACACTGACCACACAGACCCATTCTTTCATATGTAGGCCTACCAGCTTTCTCTTGCTAGATTTGAAGGCGTTAGAATTTGTGTGTACTAGTACGTCAATAACCCTGGCGCGTAAGCCGTACTAGTACGTCGGAAACCCTGAAAGGATTAAATAGCAAAAAGGCACAATACCGTGACTGGAACAATACACAAATAACCTGCACACAGGAGAGGGAAGCCTCAGAGCAATCACCTTAATGTGATCCTCACAACAATTATCTCATCATATTTATTTTTATTTCATGTAACTAGCTTCATTCATATCTTAATTTTTACTAGAATTTTTATTTCAAATTACCAGAGTACAGTGGTACCTCGGGATATGAATTTATTTCGTTCCAGAAAGCTGTTCAAGTGCTGATACCTAACGAATTTGTTCCCATAAGGAATAATGTAAATTAGATTAATCTGTTTCAAGTTTTGGGCTGTTCACATCCCAAGGTACCACCGTACTTTAAATACAGCCTCTCCTCACTTGGCAACGTACTCGTTTACCGACGACTCAGACTTATGTTGGGCTCTTTGATCAGTATGCAAACCTAAATAATGAATATCAGAGCTGATTTTCTCTGTTCTGTTTATTACAATATACAGTACATTACTGTATAAACATTTAAAAATATACCAGAAATGTTATAAATGGTGCAAATGTGACATTAAAACAATATCAAAGATGGTTGACACAAACCCACTACCATTATATTATGCTCCTCACCTAGCAACAAATTTGTTTATCAACGTGGTCTTAGGAACGGAACTCCGTCGTTAAGTGAGGAGAGGCCGTATTGTTAATTCTAAGTACAGTAGTCCCCCTGTACCCACAGGGTATATGTTCCATATACTTCTATGTACTGATACCCAAAACCGCAGACAGTAGTGAACCCTATATACGTCGTTTTTCATTTACATTCATTTCTATGATGAAAAATTGATAAATTATGCACAATAAATTGAGAATTATCACTTTTTCACTAATGAGAAGCATTTTATGACTTCTCTTAGACTGTGATAAACTGCCACCATCACAACTGTTGTGTTTTGTGGCCATTATTAAACAAAACTAAAGGTTATTGTCGGGCCACAGCAAACCATGGATTCTTTTTCTCATATACCTTGCTAGGACTTTATCTGTCCATATACATTAAGTCATCCTCACTAAATCACTTCTACTGTGAATATCATTAACATCTTGCATGCCTATCAGGTAAAGGTAGGTAGGTAGAGAGAGAGAGAGAGAGAGAGAGAGAGAGAGAGAGAGAGAGAGAGAGAGAGAGAGAGAGAGAGTGAGAGAGTGAGATGAGAGAGAGAGAGAGAGAAGTGAGGAGTGGTGAGAGTGAGTGAGAGAGAGTGAGATGATGAGAGGAGAGTGAGAGAGTAGAGAGGAGGAGAGTGAGAGAGGAGAGTGAGAGAGAGTGAGAGAGAGTGAGAGAGTGTGAGAGTGAGAGATGAGAGTGAGAGAGAGATGAGAGTGAGTGAGTGAAAGTGAGAGAGGAGAGAATGAGTGAGAGTGAGAGAGTGAGAGAGGTGAGAGAATGAGAGAGAGAGAGAGAGAGAGAGAGAGGAGAGAGAGAGAGAGAGAGTAGAGAGAGAGAGAGAGAGAGAGAGAGAGGAGAGAGATAGGAGATGAGAGAGTGAGAGTGAGGTGAGAGTAGAGAGGAGAGTGAGAGAAGAGAGTGAGAGAGGAGAGAGAGAGAGGAGTGAGAGAGAGTGAGAGTAAGAGAGAGAAAGAGAGAGAGAGAGAAAAGAGAGAGAGAAGAGAGAGAAAGAGAGAAGAGGAGAAAGAAAAAGAGAGAGAAAGAGAAAGAGAGAGAGTAAAAAAAAAAAAAGAAAAGAAAGGAGAAAGGGAAAAAGGTGATAAAAACATAAACAACTTTACCACAAGACGGGCCCAAAAAGCAAAACCCCCCCCACCCCCTCCATAACACACCCTTTGGACTACCCCCCAATACCCCCCCTTAAAGGAACACATTCGCGCAAAAACAACAAAAAGCAACAAAAAAAAGGGCCCACAAGGGGGCTAAAAATTTCACCCTGTCCACATCCTAAAATAAAGCTTTCAAATACTATTGGGGGGAAAACACCTTTAACCCAATAAAAGGGGGAATCTTAACTGAAAAAGTTTGTCAAAAAAGTAACGGCCTTTAACCGTGTCAAACCCGTGTAAAGGGGAAGAAAGAGAGAGAGAGAGAGAGAAGAGAGAGGGGAGAGAAGAGAGAGAGAGAGAGAGAGGGAGAGAGAGAGTGAGAGAGAGTGAGAGTGAAAAGTGAGAGAGGAGAGTGAGAGAGTGAGAGAGTGAGAGTGAGAGGAGAAGAAGGGGGGGGGGTGTGGTGTTGTGTGTTGTGTGTTGGTGTGTGTGTGTGTGGTGTGGTGTGTTGTGGTGTGTGTGTGTGTGTTGTGTGTGTGTGTGTGTGTGTGTGATTGTTGTTTGTGTTGTTGGTGTGGTGTTTGAGTGTTGTTGTTATTCATTTTGGGTTGCAGGGTCGATATACTCCGGGCCCCTGCCTCTTTATGTTCTACAGGCCCTCTCTCCCCCTGTCCATGAGCTTTATCATACCTCCCAAAATATGTAGGCCCCGCCTCCCTCTTCAC